TAATTCATAATAAAATATTCCTGAAGCACCCCCCCCCACTATAGATAAACAGGTCCTCAAAGTTTCACACCAAAATATTAAGTTTTCGATTTGATATTCAATTGTTTTGTATTAAAAATGCAAAAGACTCTGGATTTTTCGTGTTTTTGGCTCCCCCAGCCCATCCCGCACCCCATGGGGGCCATGACAATTATTAGCATTCATATCTGCACCCGCCCAACCCATTTTGAGGCCCCTGCGGCACCCGGAACACACCCCCACCATCCCACCCCATTATAATAGCCCCTATCAAGCATGCCCCACAGCCCCTGGCTTTGTGGGGTGTGGGAAATAATTTGATAAATCGCAGATAAATGTATTTATCTAATCTACATCCATTACATAATTTTTGGAGGCATGGGAGAGCCAGAATTAGCCAAAAACTCGCACCAAAACACCTTTTTAGGCTGTATTTGGTGGTGTTTACATTAGTAATCATTGGTGATGATGTGTGCAGGTGCGCCATCAATCACATGATTTTTTGGCTATTTTTGCCGAATTTTCCCACACCCCTTTTCGAGGCTGCTCACTGTCCGGACAGTGAGCAGCCTCAACAAACACTGGATTTACCATGACAGTCAATTGACCAAAAGGTCACTTGACTGTTGTGATGCATTTTTACCTTTGGTCAGTTGACCAACATTGATGCATCAGGTTGACTACTACTGGTGAGTACCTGCTCGTTGAGAGTTTCGGGTAGATCTAGGTTTAGAACCTGAACTAGCTGTTTTGATCTTTATCGTGTTAAGGCAACTTTTTGTGTGATGTCCCTTTTCTCAACAATGTTGTTAAGTGAAAGGACCGGTTGATTTGGTTTGAGTAATGAACCTGCTGTGCTCTTTCAATACAAATGAGTTCTTCACTTGATAGAGCTTTTTCCAATTGTAGGAGACCGAATGTCTTTGTTCGTTTAACTTGCTTATGAGCTCTCTGTGCTAAATTGCAATATCAATGTTTCTCTTTTTGTTCAATTACCAACCCCCCCTCGTGGTGGGCTCCAATTGAAGAGGTAGCTGTGGAAGTGAGCCTACAAAGTGTCTAGAGTGACGACCTTGCAGAAAACACAACTTATTGACTGGACTACTACCCAATCAATAATATTCATAATTGATAAGGAGGGTGATGATTTACAGTATACAACTGAACACGATGGAACCGTTGACTAACGCGATAGCAACGCTATTTGAGGGACTTGATCACAAGTCAGATTGACTAGCAAAACAAACTCTAACACCCGAGAACCCAGGGATGTATGATGGGGACGGTATTTGGTGTGATGTGGGTTGTTTCTTATGATGGACTTGAACTGGTTGACTTAACTCAACTAGAAACTCAAAAATGCCTTCAGACTTCATTCTCTTGACTTGACTTCTAATGGCTCAATTGCCCTTGACTTAAACTTATCCCTTTGACTGACTTACGGTACACAGACCGACTTACAGTACTCGGGCACTTGGCTTAATGGTCCTTTGACCGACTTAGAAGCTTATCGTGGAAACTCGACTTCGAACACTCTTTGCTTGACTTGTCTCGTTCTCTCAATTTGTCCTGAACTCAACACACGAAGCTAATCACGCTGGACTAAAAATCAGATTCTGGGGGGTAAAGATTGCTTGCTTAAACTAAACTATTCGAGGCTTTTTATACAAACACAATTAGGGGTATCCAGTATCTAAGAGTCCGAGCCAAGTAATGTACCATGTGCTAGATATGCAAATTGAAACAAAGCATGTGGTGTTTTATCATGAGAACAGCATGGACCAACGCCACCAGCACTAATCAGGCATTATCCCTGATGAGTAACTATGACCATTTTGGTTCCATCCATCATTCTCAGAAGGCATCGCACAGTAACAAGACCACTTCACTACTCTTGGTGGACCTTGGCTTGACTGACCATGATATCAGTCTTATCGTGGTTAAGTTATCCTGTGTGTGCACATGGAACTTCCTGACTCATCCTCAAGACTTCACTTGGTTTGCTGTCTTGGCCAATTAGCGCTCTAATGCAATATGGCATACCACAATATTAATGTAATGGTGTTGACTTTTGATGGGCCGTTCCTCACTCTGGTGGAACAGTTTAACCCTCCAGTATGTTTCATAGTCCTTGGATTGTGACACTACATTCACTTTTGTAATGCCAGATCACCCTCATATCGCATTTAGCGCCTCTGCTTCTTTACTTGTTCGACTATGCTGGCTTCTCGCACTTAGATGGTCTCATAGACAAATTAATAGACCGTGCTTTGGTTTATGACTCTGTGGTGTATGGGTATACTAGTCTTTGGGTAATAGCACATTAAGCACCATTGATCATCATGTCCCTAGTCAAAGGTGACACTTATAACAATTACTGGCTGCATGTTCTTATCGTGACTAGGTGCTATTGCGTCAGTCCGAGTCTTTGACCATTGTGAGTAACATTTCATATTGTCTAAGTGGGTGGTACTCTAACCAAGGGAGGCCACAAAATTGTAGGCTTGTACGGAGCATGGCTCCTCATCTCCCCCCAACTTAAATCTTGACTGTCCCCAGTCAATCTAAGGGTGCACAGATCTACTCGTTTTTCTAACAGACACTTCATCTTGTTTGAAGCCCCTGATTTCATAAGCCACTTGTGTGAAGCTAGCCTTTAGCGCCCATGCTGACATAAAGTGTGATGATCACAGAGTCATGTGTGTCATGGCACCTACACACCAAAAGCTCTTTTTCTCTTCACAAATCACATTGCGGTAAACGCCAGTGCACAATTTGTTATTTCTTAATGCAACAAGGCTATTTTCCATGTCTTCGCAATAACACCTGACCTTGTCGGTCCATGTGCAAAAACACGTCAAACAAGCTATGTTTGGACACCAATAGGCGCCCTTCAAATATTGGCTCACGGAACCGTTAGAGTTCCAACTCCAATCGCCTCTTTCACAATTATTAAATCTTATATCTTATCTCAATCTTGCCCAATTCTTATCACGATCTCTCCCTTATGTCTTCGCCTTTGCCATCGCCCTCCTTTGTCAACTTCGAAACTGTCAAGGTGCCTATCCCTTATGACAAGGCACCTTTCTACGAGCTCCATGGCGCTTGGCCCTATATCTGGCCTGCTTTCGATACTTGGCGCAATACCTGCGATTGCCTCAACTCTGCCTTTGTTATCGCTATGTTCGAAGACTGCTACGGGTACTTGGTAAGCTTTCTAGGACTTGTTATTGTGACTTTATTTGACTTGTGTCTTGCCGCGATTAGGAGGCTTTTCACACTCACAATGACAACACCCTTAGCTTCCATCCTGACACCAACTTGGTTCTGAACTGTTTGATCCCTCTCCTTGACATACTGGAGCCTGAGGATTGGAAGACATATCAAATATTTGTCCCTGATGTAGCAGACAACATCAACTTTGATAAGGTTGTCGTATTCGCGGGCCAGGCGAACTCGACAACTTCTCGCTTGCCTCTCTTCTCGAGGCCGAGACGTCTTCCAAGGACGAGCCGACCATCCACCCGGCTCCCGTTTTCAGGCCTCCTCCTCCTGCTGCCCATGGGCTGCTCGATGAGGGTGTCGCTGGCATAGGGGCTCCACCCAATGTCCTCATGCAGGCATTGGACAACCTTGGTCGCCCGACCTCCTCTTCCCACATCCCTGCCTCCAAGAAGCGTAAGGGTGTCGATCGTCCGGTCCCACCTCCTCCTCCTCAGAAGAGCAAGGTGGCCTACTCTCGCCCTGGTCTGCCTCTGCTGATCAATCGCGCTGCTAAGCCCAAGCCCCATCCAACAACATGGGCAGGGATTGCACGACAGGCCGCTCTGATGCCTCCTCCGCCTCCTGGCTTGGGACCGCAGCATCGCAGGCCTTCCCCTCCCCCTCCCACATTCCCAATGGGCCTGATGAAGACTTCTCCTCATCGGTCCGTCCCTTCTTTCACTTCCGAGGGCCCCACCCGGAAGCAAGTTCTCGTGTCGTTCGGGGGTACCCCTCCCGATCTCACGAAGTTCTTCACCAAGTCGGCTGTTCGTGCAGCCAACGGATATCTCAGGGATGGTCGATCTATGCTAAAGGTCACCTCCATCGTCCGTGCCTACGACGGTTTGTCATTGGTCACCCCCGCTGTTGCCAGCCCGTCCGATCTGGACATCCTGTGCAACTTTATTCGCGAAAGCCTTCCAACAGGTACCCCGTTCGAGGTCGCGCTTCCCTCATCAACATCTTTTATAAAGATCCTCGATGTTCCCTACTTCGATCCGAAAGGGTTGAAGATCACCCAGGAGGCGCTTGAAAAGGCCCTCCATACCTCGGTTCACGCTGAGGTCTTCGCATATCTGAGCACCAAGCCTCGGATTGATCGCAACTCGGCGCACTCGACTTCGTGCACCGTGTACTGCAACATCTGGGACTCCCAGCAGGGAACCCGAGCCAAGAAGGCCTTAGGCCAACCGATTTTCCTCGCTGGGCGGTCTTGCGCTATCAGGCCCGCTGCGCGTCACACCGGTGTCCCGCTCTGCCAGTGCTGCTGGAAGTGGGGTCACCCCACCGTCACCTGCAAGGCGAAACAGCTCTCCTGCCCCATCTGCTCGGGTCCGCACGAGCAGAAGGAGCACCGTCAACATGCGGGATGTTGCAAGGGCAACGCGAAAGCAAAGCCTCCTGTGCCGCCCACCCCTCACGACCAGCCTTGCCCCCACAAGGGCCGTTGTGTCAACTGCCACAAGGACCACACCGCCAACTTGGCTTCGTGTAAGTTCTGGGCCCACCGCTACGACCGTGAATGGATCATGGCCGAGTATCGTCAGGTACATGAGCACGCTGCTCGCCGCCAACTTACTAACCCCCGAACCTAGACTAATGTTGGGAAACCTTCAGGATCTAAGTAGTGGGCTTCGTATTTACTGTCAGAATGTTCGTCACACCTATGCACATGTAGACACCCTTCTTGAAATTTGTAAAACAAAATTTGATATTTTATTTTTCCAAGAAACCCCTTGGAATTTCATAAGGCACACACCGTCCACCACTAGTATGGAGGGCGATGAGGTTATCGGCGCACCAAAGCATCCCGACTGGCTGCAAATGGTGCGCATCAAGGAAGGGGAGGTTCCCCATGTGATCGCCTATGTTTCAACTAGGCTCTCCCGCTATTGTCCCACTATGCGTCACGACATCGTCAACCATCGCAACATCCTTGTCCTCTCCCTCTTTAGTGGGGGTGAGGTTCTTAACTTAATGAACGTCTACTCCGACAATCAACACACAGCCATTGAGCACCTCGCTGCTCGTGTGCGTTCTTTACCACCTTTCATTTATATGGCTGGTGACTTCAACTGCGTGTCGACGACTTGGGATGACTATGAGCATGGCGAGTCATTGACGGCAATATCATTGTGGGATACCACATCTCAGATCGGCCTCGAGTGGGCACGACCTTCCAACCATGGACTGACGAGGATCAGTCCTAATCCTAACCAGAGATCCAACTTGTATTCTTAGCTCCATCTGAGATTCTGATCTCGATGCCCAGATTGGAGCACGATCTCCAGGGTCCGTCAGATCACGTCCCGATCTGTACAGATCTTGATATCAGTTCCGAACTGCCCGGATTTGGGCATCGGACAATTAAACCCAGAAGCGAGGCTGAAAAGTCTTTCATTTCGGATATTCTCCGGGATCTTGCGGCTATCCTGTCGCAGCCCCGGCAACCAAGGAAGGCATTGAAGCTTTAGCCAATGCTATCGCAACAGCGTTCTCAGACATGTGGCCTGCCCATTCGACCGAGTCCAAACCTACCAAGTGCTCCAAGTCCTGGTGGACAGATGAGTGCTCGGAGACATTCGGAGTATATCAGTTGAGCCGCTCGCTCGCTGATTACAGCAAGTTCAAGAAGGTGTGTAAGGACACCAAATGTGGTTTCTTTGATGAACATATCGCGGAAATCGCTACTTCTTGCAAGCGCCTGTGGGACCTGATGGAGTGGGTCAAACAGCGCAAGCTACCACCATGTGAGGCTATTCGCAATGGCGACCGGCCTTGCCATGATATGGACGACCTATGGGACGCCCTTCACGGCACGTACAACTCGGCCTCTGGTTGCGAGTACGACGCCTCAGTCTTAGACGAACTTCCCGACGAGCCAGTCCGTGAGTGGGCTGACTTCTCGGAGCATGAGTTGTTGAGTGCCCTCAAGGGGTGTTCCAACTCCTCTGCGCCAGGACCGGACCATGTTACATGGGTCCACCTAAAGGAGCTGCTCAAGGATAAACACGTCCTTGCGCTCTTCATCGTGTTGGCCAACGCTTGCCTTCGGGTGGGTCATTGGCCTTGTATATTCAAGGAGTCGCTGTCGGTTATCATACCGAAGCCGAATAAGCCCTCCTATGCTGTACCGAAGGCCTTCAGGCCGATCGTACTCCTCATCACTTTCGGTAAACTTATCGAAAAGATGATTGCCAATAGGATACAGTTTGACGCTGTCAAGCATGATATCTTCCATCCTAACCAACTTGGCGGCATTCGCCAGAGGTCAACTGAGGATGCTGGATTGATTCTGACCCATCTCGTGCGAGCGGGGTGGGTTAAGGGTCTCCAGACTAGCGTGCTGGCTTTCGACATCGCGCAGTTCTTCCCTTCTATCAACCATGAGATGTTCATGGCTGTTCTTCGCAAGCAAGGGTTCTTGCCAGTTCTGGTGGAGTTCTTTGCCTCCTATCTCGTTGGCCGTTCCACAGTTTACTGCTGGAACACCTTCCAATCCGACCTGCGCTCTGCGGACGTGGGTGTCGGGCAGGGCTCAGCTCTCTCGCCTGTTATTTCTGGGCTGTTCATTGCTCCGGTAATGAAGCTCTTCTATATCAAAGCAGTGCCGCTCAACACGACACTGCTGTCCTTTGTGGATGACAGGACCATCCTGGCTCAATCCAAACAACTCGATGATAATAATGTGGGCCTGTGTAAGGCCTACAAGATTATTTACCTTCTATTTGTTGCTTTCACACTCGTCCTTGAACACAACAAGACTGAGCTGTTCCACTTTTCGCATCGACAAGACACCTACAATCCCTCGCTGGATCTGGGGTATGCCCCACATACCGGCGTTACACCTTTGAAGCCCAAGACCTTTTGGAGGTACCTGGGCTTCTACTTTGACCGTGGGCTCACATTTCATGAGCACGTCCGCTACTATGCCACTAAGGCGTTCACCACCGTGCAGGCCATGCGCATGCTTGGGAACTCCACTAGAGGTCTCTCGCCTAAACAGCGCCGCCTCTTGTATCGGTCGTGTGTGGTTCCTATTGCCACATACGGCTATCGTCTCTGGTATTTCGACAGCGCCCATAACAAGGGTGCGAGGAACCAGCTTAAGCGGATGCAGCGAAAAGCTGCTCTTTGGATCACAGGTGCATTCCGCACCTCCCCCACAGGCGGTCTTGAGGCCTTGGCAGGTCTCATCCCTGTCCATCTTATGCTGAAGAAGCTGGCAACACGTGCAGTGTACCGCGTCACCACCCTCTCGGACACCCATCCCCTTCACTCCATGATGGGTGAGGGACTCCTTAAGCGAGCCACACCACATGCTCACTCAGCCACCTTGATGACCCCAGCCATGCAGGGGAAAGTCAAGAGCACCGTCATGGAGGTGGACGAGCGTGTCCACACCTTAACTGAGAGCTTCGAGCCCTTTGCGCCTGAAGCTCGCCCAGGTGATCGGTTACTGGACCACTATGCAGACCGTCTCCATTTTGACGAGCATGATCCTGCCCAGGATAGGTGACCATATCTAGACGAGCTCATCGCGAGAGCAAGGGCCGATCCTCTAACAGTACTGGCCATGACTGACAGCTCTGTCCCTCAGTCCAACCAGTATCAGGCGGCTTCAGCAGCCATCATCTACAAGGGACATCGCGAGCTCGAAAGGACTTGTTATGTCTCTGGCAGAGTTACTGCCCCAGATGCGGAACTCAATGCCATCTTGTGCGCAGTGCGCCTTGCTGTCAAGCAGGCAAACTGCCAACATATTATGGTCTTTACTGACTCTATGGGCTCGGCCCATAGAGCAGTCGACCCTTCCGTGCACTCTGGTCAGGCTTTTAGCCTGTCAGTTTGTTGCGCTCTCCAAGAGTGGTTTGAGGCGGATGATCTCCGCCGCATTACCTTTGTCTATGTCCCATCCGCTTTGCAGTGGGATATCCATGGTGAGGCACACAAGTACGTCACCGAACTCAAAGTCAGGGTTGGACGTTGCAAGACGGACAACTCTATAGACGTGCTACGCTCCCGAGCCGCGCACTCAGTCCTGGATTCGTGGAGTTCCACTTTCCAGGATCCAACCTATCGAGGCTCTGAATTCTTAGAGCTTCAACAGCCTGACGGGCAGCCGCTACAGCCATCGTACCTCAATGGGGACCTTGGCTTTCAACCTTCGGACACAGTATTACTGAGTTCGCTTGCGTTTGCCAGTGTATAACTGGCCACGTGCCCATTGGAGTGTACTACTGTCGCTTCAAGATCAATGAGCCTCACGGCTGCACTTGCGGGGCTGCTTTGCAGTCCCATCAGCATATTCTCTTTCACTGTCGCGATCGCTACTCTGTGCATTACCCCCGCTTCCTTGGGGATATTGCATCTTTCATGAAGTACAACCCCACGGCGTTTGGCTTCAACCGGGACCCTTCGGGTGTCGGATAATCGTTGTGGGTGGGGTTGTTCCTCCTTTTGGGGGATTTATGGTGAATTGACACCACCAAACTTTAGGGTTTGAAGACCTGCGCCTGCCGCTATTTCTTCGCGCTCGCGGCCCGCTATTATAGTGGGTTGCGGCGCCGCTAACTTTCTGCATCTGGTTTCGGGCAGGCGCATCTCTGGCTTGTCGGCCTCAAGACACCCTGCCACCTCCCAGGTGGTGCTTTTCTTATCTCATTTGCGCTGCGTGGCCTCCGAACAGCGATCAACGACTTTGGGGCGTAGCGGAACCTCGATGGTTTCCTCCCCTTATCCCGATGCACCGTTTTCGCGAGGTGGGTTGCCCTCTGGGGAGTTTCGGCGTTTGAGCCCAAAGGGTCTTGGTTGGGGGGGCAGTCGTCCTTTAGTGGTTAACTTAGTAACCAGGCTGCGTAGCGTACATGTCTGTAGATAGTGAGCGGGCTGCCATCGAGCACCGCTATATAAATTGTTGATTTTTTTTAAAAAAAAAAAAAGACTTTGATAAGGTTCATCCAGCTTTTCTTGTCATGATAAAGCCTCTCTGACTGGTTTCTTTTTGACTAGCTCAAGTATTATCCATGGGACCACGACACACTCAAGGAATTGAGTCCCCCTGGC